CTCGGTGATTTCGCGTGGAGCGTGTTCTCCGATGGTTTAGCGGCTAACCCACCGTCCATGCTGTCGTGTTATCTCTGGAGTCGGGGCTGGGCTGTCGTCTGTGTTATCGTTAGCTACCGTAGTGTCACGCTCCGTGGATCGGTGAGCTCATGTTCTACCTAGGCATCGAGCTCCAAAGATTGATGATTTCTGATTTCCCGTATCTGGCCTCCTGCGGGCTCAGGTTTGGTCGGTTGACTGTGCTCCATGTTTACCCGTGGTGTTGTTGGAGTATTGTTTCTGTGCACTCTCACCGATACGTGTTCTACCGTGGCTTCGAACGTCCGTGCTCTTCCGTAGCCCGTGCTTTTCAGCATGCTGGGGTGTCTATGTATTTAGTTCCCTTCCGTGGCCCGTACGTTCCTGTCATGTTCTCTCCATCTGTTCTTTTCATGGCTGCGTGCTCTTTCATCTTTCACGCTACTTATAAAACTTCGTGGTTTGCATCGGCTAAGTCTTCTATCATCGTACATGGCCTTCCGTGCTTCGTGTTGCTCTTCTATCCCATCGTGTACATAGTGTAATTCGGTTTTCCTTCGTGTTTCGTGTCCTTGCTTAGACATGTGCATCCGCGCCAACTTAATCACAAACGCTGTTCCCATTTTGTTTGATGTACACAACGTATATTGTTTGATGTACACAACGTATATTGTTGGAAAGTTCACATAATATCTTAACGTCGCACACTACGCGCGCAAATACAAAGGAAGATGATACTTTTTCCCGGGGGCAGTGTGAGGTGCAGGGGTGTAAGCCACGATAGTCATATTTTAAAGTTTTCACATTATTAAAAATAGTAATACAATTGTTATTTATTATTAAACGCTGATATAATTATTATGTGTACTACTACTACAAATGACTGCAAGCAAAAATATGAAATGCCTTGATAACAGTACTAAGAAAAATAATATTGTAAGTTAAATTAGTACAGCAGTACTACGAAGCCTAAAACATTATTCTATATCCAATAAGTACTAAAGTTTCGATTGAGGCCAAAATATAAGTCACCAGGGCCTATAAATTTTTTCTTCAGCTTCTACGACGATATAGTACGTGTTTGCTCATCGGCGCCTTTTAATTTTGCTAATTAACGCGTACACAGGCAGCGCCGCTTGCGTGAGGGGGGGAACACCGCATCTGAAAATGAGAGCAAAATGAAATTTAAATGGTGCAGTTAAGTACGCATGTGTAGTCCACATACAGTAAGTACAGCACATAATATCAGCCAATGGGGGCCGCCTTCGCTGCGCTCGGCAGCTTTTTAGCGAATCGACGCCGCCTTCGCTGCGCTCGGCAGCCAGTAGAACGCGCGTATTTGCGTTACATTTTAGAACCCTACCCTCGGACGGACTGACAGACGGACGGACAACACACTCCACTAGAGAGGTAAGATTTTCACGTATTATAGGCAGGGCTTAGTAGTACCAAAAACACGGTACATGTAGTAGTATTACCGCTACTATTGGGCCTTCGTCGAGAGGGAAATACTGAAACTAGTATCGTTTTTAAAAGGCGGTAGTAATATTAGTACTATTAGTATATTACTCGGACTACTACTTTCGTATCATTCGCGTTTCGACGTGGTCGCTTTGCGTGCGTCGTGCTTCAATCTTACGAGCTCAAGCCTGTTGTGCCGCAGCCGAAGCTGCGCCTACTGTCTGTACTGTTCTCAGGGGCTCCATGGCTATCCCTCCCGTCGAAAATACCCGCTCTTGGAACGCTGACGAAAAGATTTTGCCGAGATGGATGCGAGCGAGTAAAGCGATCAAGGGGAGCTGCAACTCGCCTTAGTCACGGAACTGCTTCGAGACGTCAATGTGATTGTACAAACTCAGTAGTGACCAGCACATGCCGTTTTGCGAGTCAATCGACATCTCCTTCGACAACTCCTCCTTTGTGATGTCAGGATTCTGGTGCTGCTCGATCTCCAGCCATTCTGGTCGTAAATCCAACCAGTCTTTTATCACGGCATCGGATCGTGCATTGATCTCAGTCTCCTTGACCTCTTCTCTTGTTTTTCTGGCCCGGATAGGTGCCCCCAGTAGGAGTTCATCTTCGTCGTCCCAACCCGTTGAAGCTGGTGATGAAAACGGCGATGCTGAATCCTGACTAAGTAAGCTACTTTGCGATGACTGTTGAGATAAAGAGATCTTCTCGTCTTTGACCATTCGAGCAAATACCGTCCGATGTTCTGCGCGCAGGAGCTCAATCCCGTTCTTGTATATGGCATTCTCCTCCTTGCGAGGAATACCGCCTAAAGCAGCATTTTTTGGCGCTAGACTTGGCTCGAGGGTCAAGTAAAACGCAGACCATAACCTCCTTCGTCACCTTGAAGGAGCGCCTGCAACTGGAGCAACGTCTTCTGAGTCATGTCTCGCCATCATCAGAAAATTGATCTAGTGTCCTCACAACGCGACGGGGGCTGGATTCGTTTGCATCTGTAGCTCTTGGAGCCTCTACAGCCATTACTTTGAATTTGAGTTTGTTCTCCGCAAGTCGTTGGAGCACTACCATGTAAGACGATACTAGGTTTTCACTCTGAGCTTCCACCATTGCAAGATTGGCTATACAGTGGGTAACCGCCTCCATTTCCACGGCGAGCATCCAGTACAGCGGGTGTGCCAATGTCCTCGCAATTAACTCACCCATGACCTGCTTGATAGTAGACGCAATATCGTCGACGAGAGAACTTGGTGTAACGCATCTAATTCCATCTTTTAGGGAGTAAAAGCAAGGTCCCGCAGGACCGGCCAAGACTGCAGCGGTGTAGGCGTCAGGATAGGGCTGTGTGTTATCGATGTACACATCAACGACCCCCTTTCGGGTTCTTCACCAACCTCGACGATTCACAAAGTCCTTCGACACACCGCTACGAGTTGCGTATGTAGCGGCTCCTTTACGAAAGCTGTGTGTAGCCAGCTTTCCAGTCTTCAGAGTCTTAAACTCTGAATTTTGAAACGTGTCCGCTAAAAATCGCCTCAAAACACGATCACCATCTTTCGGATTGCCAAAAGGAAACGAAGAGTTCGCTACATTTGCCGCTTCTTCAATGTAGACAGCAATATTTAGCAGGGGTCATAGTCTCGGATCCACGCTACAACAAATCATCTGCTCAGATGCATCTCTTTCTTCAGAAATATTCTTCGACCACCATATTTGACATAGAAGCGTGGACGGGTACTGAGAGTTGTAACTCAAGTTACTAAACTGGAGTTTCATCATGTTGTCGATTCGAGCTATAATATACCACTGGAAGGTCAAAATACTGATAACCATGAAGTTGATGCTGGTCCGTGAGCTCGGCGATCGTATTATCTCCAAAATATTAACAAATTCATCAAATTCAACTGATCGCCGTGCTTTCGACTCGACACCTTCCCGGCGGACTTCGAAACGCTTCACTTTCTTTAATAGCTTGTTGACTTCATCTGAGCGCGTTGGGTTTCCTTGCTTTGTCACTGGGTCTCCCGTCGTATTTAGTCGAGCGGCGGAAACGGCCTTTTTCGCGAGCTCCAGTGTACTTGATCTTATGTGTATTGATCTCATGTCTTCGTTTGGCTCTCTTGTTCATCCAGCAACACACCACGGTCGGTGTGACACTGAGGAGATCCTCTGTTGTGAAGCTATGAGAGGCGACGTAAGTCTTGGTGTTCTCGAATGACATGAGCTTCGCAAGCTCTACCTTGTAGCAGCTGGTGCTCATAGCGGTGGATTCTGCTGTGCGCCGTTCCACAACGCGTTCCGAACCCACTGAGCTTGCAACCTTACTTAATTTTACAATAGACGATTTTAATGTGTAAGAGAGGGTGCAAAACGCAGCCGTTCATGCTACGGTGCCCGCAGTATTGGTTGCAAAGGGCACCTCAATTTTAGGCGTGGTACAAGCCTCAAAAATGGTTAGTACTGATTATCCAGCGAATCAGAGCTCGCAATCTTCAGAATTACAACCTGGGTTGCAAATGGCCTAAATGAACTTGTATCGTGTTAGCTAATATTTAGTGATATTTAAAAATATCATTTTGTCTCAGAAGAAAATATCAGGTAATATTTTTTTATTAACCAGTCTATCAGGTGATATTATAACTTCACCGAGTTACCGTACCATTAGCCCTTGGTTACCCGGTGACTGCTTCGTTGCAGACAAGCAATTACCACGTCTATGAAGGGTTTGCGTGAATGGACCTCATGCATGCGAAGTTTCTCTTCAACGCTTGATGGTGAGCGAAAGTTGTCGTGATTTTAATCCCAGTCTTTGCACGAATGGCCGCGAGCTACGACTGTACATGTATTACGCAACTGTGGCTGCAGGTTAGTCGTCACCGCCTGCCACGAACTCATTTCCCTTTTCGCATCGCGATCAGCAGGATGAAGATAGTTGGGGTAAGCTTGACGGTGACGGCTGTGGCTTCCACAGGGTTTCTGCCTACGACTCAAGGATGGTGGGACAACGGACATATGCTCGTCGGCGAAATGTTCTGGACGAGGCCGATGTCACCACGATCGAGAGTATTTTGTCGAGGTGGGACGAGGACTTCCCCAACACCGGCGAGATCACTACGACTGCGGTCTGGATGGACATCGTCAAGTGCACCGCCGAGAGCTCAACGTGTTTGACTCCAGCATCGCCTTCCATTACGAGCATAAGCGACTGGCATTACATCAACCTGCCGCTTCATATTAATGGGGACAAGTGGGAGGACAAGGACACGGACCTCACACTGTATGACGACATCATGGGAGGTGACGGGATCTCGGTGATCGAAGGCGTAGTGAAGTCTTTCAACCGCCAACCTCTACCTGCGCAACTTTATCCACATCTTCGGCGATCTACATCAGCCGCTCCACACAGTCGCGGGTATCAGCGAGGCCTTCCCTAAGTGACGGTGGCGGCAACAGCGAGACTTTCACGTCGCCCTGCGTGTTTAGCAACCCACACGCTGTCTGGGATGCCGCTGGTGGCCTGTACAGCCTCAATAAATGGAGCTTGAATATCGACAGCTTCAGGCCGACACTGGAGAACGCTTCGGAGCTCATCGCGTTGCTTCCGAGTGTCCAGGACAACATCACGTTCTCGCAGTACGTGAACGTGACGTACAATGAACTGAACACGGCGCTGGTTACCAACCAGGTGCTGCGTGAAGTGGCTTTAGAGACGTACAACTTCGCTAACACTATCGTGTACTCGAACCTGGACCTGAATGCCACAAGCTCGGGAACTTACCCGTGCCCGTCGGCTTCGTACCTCGCTATGGTTGGGGAAATCTCACAAAAACGTATTGCGATCGCCGGTAGTCGGCTTGCTGTTGTCTTGAAGCACTTTGCTGCCCAGCTGCGTGTACTAGGGCTACATGTAGCGAATTAGGTGGCTTTAAAACTCGCCGGTGGAGCTCGCTCTTAAAAAGAGCATCCATCAAAACGAAAAGATATGCGCGACTATCAAAATGTTGACTCAGCAAGCAATTGGACCTAAAATGAATGCCACGGTACAAAAATGTTCATCTATAGAAGACTACAGCTTAAATTTCAGGAAATGCTACTGTACCAGGTGATGCTACTGTACCTCCGCTGTGGTTCGCTCACATTCACAGCGAAAGGACCAGATGAATGCTTGCCTGACCTCCGCTCTCTGCTCGGCGAATCTCCATTGATGCGCGAGCATGCCACTCCGTTCGATATCTGCGTTTGCTTCTGCTCGTGTCTGACATTTCCCTTACCGTCCCCAGACCATCACACACTTTAGCAGGGAAGATAAAGGTACTCGCAGTGATCGCGGCGACGGTGACCACGGGCTTCCTGCCCGCGACTCAGGGCTGGTGGGACAATGGGCACATGCTCGTCGGAGAGGTAGCCAAGCAACTTATGAGTGAGGCAGACGTCGTCACGATTGAGAGCGTTCTGTCCAAGTGGAACGAGGATTTCCCTAACACTGGCGAGATCACTACAAGTGCCGTCTGGATGGATCTTATCAAGTGCACGTCGGTCAGTTCCTACTGCCAATCCCCTCTAGCTCCTTCTATTACGAGCATGAGCGACTGGCACTACATCGACCTGCCGGTCAACATTAATGGCGACAAGTGGGAATATAAAGACGCCGATCTGTCTCTGTTTGAAGACACAATGGGAGGTGACGCTGCGTCAGTCATTGAGGGTGCGTTGAGGTCGCTCAAAACGACCAAGTCAAGCTGGGCCGCGAATCTGTTCATCCGCAACTTCATCCACATCTTTGGCGACCTACACCAGCCTCTCCACACTGTGGCAGGCGTCAGTGAGGCCTTCACGGAAGGTGACGGTGGCGGTAATAGCGAGTATTTCGCATCTCCGTGTGCCTTCAGCAACCTACACGCGGTTTGGGATGCCGCTGGTGGTTTGTATAGCTTGAACAACTGGGCTCTCAATATCGACGACTTCAAGTCGACGCTACAAAGCAACGCCACGGACCTCATCGCATTGCTGCTAAACATCTCCGACACCCTCGATTTCTCTCAGTACGAGAACACGACGTACAACGAGCTGTACACAGCGCTAGTGACCAACTCCGCCTTGCGCGAGGTGATTCTCGAAACCTACTCGTACGCTGACACTGTTGTCTACAGTGGTTTGGACCTCAACGCCACCAGTTCTGGCAAATATCCGTGTCCGTCGTCTTCCTACCTCACGTTGGCGGGCGAAATCTCGCAGAAGCGTATTGCAATTGGTGGCAGTCGCCTGGCTATTATCCTCAAGCACTTCGCAGCTCAGCTTCGCGCACTTGGTTTGGCAGATTAAGGAGCTCCAAAACATTTTTTTTGTATAAAGAATTAAAAAAAATGCAGTTCCTTGTTCTAGCTTTTACGCGATACTAAAAACCTACAGCCAAGATAAATGCACGACTTAAGCACGGACGTCACGCTTTCCCGCGTTAGAGTTTTGTCATGCTCGTCCAGCAGCATGTAGCTCTTGAGTGACGGGTGGGTCTTGGCGTCTTCATCAAATTCTGTCCCAAAGCGCCAACCTTTGGCTGCATACTCGGTAGCCCACACCTCGTGCGAGTTTTCAGCCAGCAGATCGATGAGTACCATGATATCCCACGACAGCTGGACGTGGTTCAGTGGGAACGGAGCTTCTCTCGTTTTCAGCTTCGTCGGACGACGATAAGTAACTTGAACTCCCAGCGCAACGACGCACTTGATGATCTCGTCGACAGAAGCAAAGTTTCGGGCTCGTGCAGTGTCGTCCAGAGCTCGCATGGGCACCATCAAAGGATGCACCAAATGTGCGTCATCTCGAACGTCACCGTGCTTCCAACCAGCCAACGACTTGCCCCGACACCAATCGTAGTGCATGTGGGCTGCCACAAGCTCTCGATGAGGTTGAAACCACTGGGGAAGGTTTGTTTCCCTTGTATCAATCGGATTGGGTTTGTATTCCCCGTCTTGAGGAGAAGAAGTATCTGTGTCTGTAGCCAGGTCGTTCAGAGTGTCATGACGAATAGCGGCTGCCATCCTCAGGAATCGGCTCTGGTGTACTGACACGGCGCCTCCCAGCTCGTGATCCTCAATTGAGAGTATGGGTGCTTGCTTGAGGGCATTCACTTGTTTGCGTAGACTCTTCGAGTCAATGTTGCGGTGTGTCCATCGGTGCTGTAAGATGCCTTCGAGAGTGATGCGCTTCTCAGGGTCTTTCTCCAAAATCCCTTTTAGCAAGTCCTTGGCTTCGCTGTCTTCGCACAAGGCTGGGAACTCCAAAGGATCGTTCTCAATCTTGTCAAACAGCTCACTCACATCGTTCGAGAAGTACGGGAGTGACCCGAATAGTAGTGCATACATTGTCACACCAATTGCCCAAATGTCTGCCTTGAACGCGCAGTAAGCGTCTCCATTAAGCGACTCAGGCGGCAGGAACTGGTACGTGCCTTTCGTTGACTTAATCATACCTCGACGATGCTGTCTGCTTCCATCTATACCCGTAGATACCTGATTGATATCCCAAAGCTCAATTGCATCGACGTCTTCTTCATCGTGTAGCACACCGTTCTCCTCTTTAAAGTAATGAGCGACCCCAAGATCCCCCAGTTTGCAGAGTGTGTGCTCCTCATTCGCCATCAGATTCTCAGGTTTGATATCACGATGAGCGAGGTTGTTCAGATGAAGTCCCTGGATAGCAAGCACGAGGTTGGTCACATATGTGCGTACTGTACTTTCGTCCAACAGACAAGCACTACCGCTAGCAGCGCTCTTGGCTCTTGAACTGACGTAGCATTTACGAGAGCCATCCCACTCAGCAATTGCACCACCGCCCATGTACTCCATCACCAAGTAGTAATCCTTATTCGCTGTGTCCAGGATAACGTCATGCAGACGGATGACATAGGGCAGATTGCTGGCCTTCTTTAGCAGAGCCACCTCTCGACGAACATCGTCAGGGATCGCGTTTGGCTGGCTGGCTTGAGTGGATGGCCGTGTGCCGCTAGCGACAGGAACAGCTCGACGATTTGGAACGCCCTTGCTCTTCTGAGGAACAAATTTCTTAATAGCGAACGGCCTGCCTTGCCACGTGTAGAGAGAAACGATACCCGATGCACCTCGCCCGAGCTCACGTACCAACGAGAATTTTCCAGCGAGTAGCTCGCGATCTGCCAGTCGGTCAGCTACACCCAAAGCCAACCCACTCGCGATTTTATTTAAGGCAGCCAACCACGAATTTTGCTCTTTCAAGGACTTGGTAAGGAAGATAATCTTTACTCCAGCATGAGTGGTAACTTCAAAGCCAATAGCCGGAGGATTCTCAGCTCGACTACTGCTGCTCGGGACAGCGTGCACCTCTAAAAGTGGCTTCGCGTCTGCGATCAGAACATCTCCACCTAACACGCTACCGTACGATTCCGCTGGAAGGTGGTTCCTTGTGTTGCACTTTACCAGAGCTGACTTGACCACATCCAGGATAAACCATCGCTCCTTCCACGTGCCGTCTTTGCTCTGATACTGCAACAGACCTTGGAAGGCTACGCGACCCGAGCTTCCTGAGAGACCAAAGCATCCAGCGTCACGATCTTGTGCCCCCATGTCAATCTCTCTGCCACACTTGGCCAATTGCGAAGTGGAGATCGCCCCATTTATTCACTCATCATGAGCTGCTCGTCCTCATATCATACACGTCATCCTCGACGGAGTTTATGATTCTGAGTACTGTCAATCACTGGTCTCGGGCAAAAATACTTCACCACCTTGGAGTTGGCCGTTGAGCTCTGAATATAACGTTAACCCTTCAGGTCTTCGAAAGATTCTGCAGAAGTTACTGCTCGCTACGGAACCGCACAGTGCCCTTGCGAATGAGAAACTCTTTTAGACGACGTACTCGACTCCATTGCACGGTAGCCTCCGTCCCATTACTGTGCTCAATCTTGAGTTCATGTAGAGTGTCTCCCAGCGCCACCACCTTCACAAGTTCGCCCTCCTCAAGAAATCCTCGCTCCGAATCAGGGCAACACCAAACCATATCACCCGGTAGTACAGAGCCGCTTGCTCCCACGCTGCTTGGCCACGTCAGCACGATCGCGTGTAGCTGGCCTAAGTACCCACGGCGTTTGCCTCGGTGCATGAACTTGGAATACTGTGCAGCTAGTTGTAGAGGCAAGTTGATGCCAGAAAGCCCGGACACCGGAGAAAAATCCTGCGCGGACGCGAGCAATGATGTCGCACTCGAAGGGATTGGCGATAGCTCCTGCTCTTTTTCCTCTTCAATAGCTTGAGCCATCCCATCTTCAGTGTCGCTATCAGCATGGTCTTCTTCAACAAGAGTCTCTGACATTAAAGCTGCAAGTGGTGCTGTCTGTGTTTCTAGAGTCTGTAGCTGCATTCAAACCACCTGAGTGACATCCACTTACAATCCGCAAAAGGCTCTCACCTCTTGAACGTCATCGTCTTGCCATTCAACTGCGTCGTCGTCATCCGAGACCGATCCATCCAACTGGTGCAGCTTTCGCTTGGCTCCAAGCTAAGGCACCGCACCAAGTCATGTCAGTCCTTTGGATTCTCACTACACAACAACTCCATTCAGTAGACTGAACCATCTTGGAGAAAATTGACGAGGCCGTTGACGTCGCGGCGCTGGGCTGCCACAGGCGTCATCCAGTTAGTTCACCCCGCAGCATGTGCTTTTGACTCTTAAGTACTCACCAACTGCCCGCTTGGTCGACCCATCACCTGCTCTGATGCAGCTTCCGATCCAATAAACGAAGGTCGAGGAGAAGAAAGCGGAGAAGATTGAGAAGAAGAAGAAGAAGAGCTGGACGGGATTGAGAGTCTGTCCTCTTCATCAGCGCAGTCTTCAAAGTCGCTGTGCGTCGATGACTCTATCGACTCCACCGCTGAGACTTCGTTGTCACAGTTCTCCGTTATTGTAGCTGACTGTGAATGTTTCCCCGTATACAAGGACAACTTCTCTAGCCATTTCTACGGCATTAGAACAGTTAGCAAAGACCCACTCAAGGTCGAGGAAACCAAGACGAACCTGCCGCAGACGTTCGATGTCCTCGTCGGACACCAACTCACTCTTTTCTCGATAGGAAGAACACACCCGCTGAATCACACGCGAGTAAAACGCCTCAAGTGTTGCCGTGTGCAGGTCACTGGGGGCGCTAGCATCGCATAACCCCTCGCTGGTTTCCATACTGCTGTTGGTTGGAACTTCGAACAAATGACTCAGCGATTGTATCGATTCCTTAAGTACGACGAATGCATCAAATGCTTACTCTGGGAAACTTCGTATTACTACTTCGTAATGCGCATCTATTCTTCACCGTTCATATGTGCAAGTGTACCAGCAGCGAAGCCGCAACGAATTTGATTAATTGACATGTGCGATTTTGACTGCACACTCGTCTACAAACAAGCTCCTTCTTTCAACATGGCTTCGCTTGTCTACCCATTATTGGTGTAGATCTTCAACCGTTTTTGTCGTCTACTGGCGAAAGTTCTCCGGCACGCCGTTGCGCAGGTCACGCTTACGCTGCAATTAATAATTTTACTCGTCAGCTCATTGCAGCCCTTTCAATTAGTGGCCATCGTAGAATTTTGATACGTACGCGCTCATCGGCACCCATGACGTAGTAGAGTCCGAAAGGGAAGATACCCCAGGCCGCGATGGACGTGAAGAACTCTCCGTTGAACTTGAAGCGCTTCTCCGAGTCTCCTCGCCAATTGTTCCAGTTCTATAAACACAACAATGTCACCAACCAGATACGTAGAGCTACAACAACGAGACAGCTGGATATACCTCGATGTGCTTATTCTTGGAGAGCGATCCGCCGTGGCGGCGCTGGCTCTGTAGCTGAGCAAGCGCGCGCTTGGGGGCCGCCGAGCGGCGCAGAGTCGTAGCGAGCATCGAGATGAGAGGTTTCTTACGAGCCGCACAAATGGCGGCTTTCATTTTCCCCAACGGCATTGGCTAAAACGCAAAAGAATAGACCTCACTAATTGGTCTAGACCAGCCAATCAAACCAATCATCCAGAACCACCGGAACATGAGCTTGAGAAGCAAACAGTTTTATTCATACAGTGTATGTATTCCTACAGGTATTGGTGCTAGTGAGCGAGATAGTATGTGCCCATTTAAACAGGATTCTTTTTCGCAAGTTAGAACGATCCACGCACGCCGCGTCGAGTGCTCGCCTTCAGTCCGCATAAATACATCCAGGGCTCACACAGTTGTTACAGCATGAGCCTACAGGTCCTGAGCAAGAAGCTGTCCTCGTGCGCCGTGACACCCACCCTCGCGCGTGCCATCAGCACCGAGACCTACTCGGCCACACAGTCAGCGCTGGGTCGCCCTATCTCGCCCCACGTGGAGATCTACAAGTTCCCCGTGACGGCCGTCTCGTCGGTCGCAAACCGTTTCTCGGCCATGGGTATGTCCGCCGCCTTCGTAGGTGGCAGCGCTCTGGGCTTCGTTGGTGCCGACGTGCCTGCTCTCATTTACATGGCGCAGGACTCTATTCCGTTCTTCGCTCCGATCTCCAAGGCCCTCGTGGCCTTCCCCGTCAGCTACCACGTGCTTTGCGGAGCTCGCCACAGCCTCTGGACGTACAAGCCTGAGCTCATCAACAATGCGGATGGACCCACCAGCAGCTACGCTATCTTCGCCGCCTCGGCCCTCATCACTCTGGGTGCTGCTGCCTACACGATCAAGGCGCCTGAGGAGAAGAAGGCCGACCAGTAATTTGCCCACCTTAGTGTCTTTGTAGTTGTTCGCACGCCTACGAACGGAGTGAACGATCACCCCGCTAATCGCTCTGGGCAACTGGTTGAAAACTGGCCGACGACGCGCTTGTGCTGCAGGGAAGAGGGTTTGGCGGGAGAATTGGCGTTGTCATCGTGGACGGTGGTGGACTGCAGACTTGATGCTCTAGTGAGAAAAAAGAACACGATAAAAATGAAATCAATCTAAGACCAAATGTCGCTGTGCTCCATTTGTTGCTGCGTGCAGGTTTGGATCATGCCGTCAACGGCCAGCTTCGTGGCTTCACCTCCATATGGGGAGCATTGATTCGAGACATCATATTAACGTGTGTGTGATGACGCATGCCGCCGAGCTAAATGGCCTGCTCTTCCAGGTCGTGGCCGTCAAGCTCAGCGCCCCGTTGATGAACTATCAG